CATATAGTTTTATTATTATAATTAGGATGAAATGCGGTGTTGTGATTTATCATAACGTTTCATGAGCGGCCGGCCAGCCTAGCTACGTGCCCGCATCTATACAAGGTCGCTGACATCCTGTCAAGCTAAACGGCGACATAATCCTCACAAATGGTTATAATTTCATGTGGGGAAATAATATTACCCAGCAGATGTTTCATTCAAACCGGAAAAGAATCCAAAAAATCAGACTATACAAGTGCAATTGTGATTCTACTTTGTTCACCTCTTTGTATATGGGTGATTCAGGTGAAAATTGCAAAAGGAAGTGAAATAAATAATTACTGATGAATACTATACACTTTCTGTTGATGAGATCACAGGGAGGGGGGTAAATAGCAATAGTTTCCCATTGACCTATGATTATTTTCCCCTGGCGCTTTCCAAGCCTTAAATGGCTATTGAATTTGTTGATATATTCATTTTGCTTTTTAACAACCATGGCAATATCTTTTCTCTTAAGGTTGTTTATCATACCCCCCCCCCCCCCCCAGCAAAAGTTATGAGAAAGATTTAATTGACGGAAGAGCAAGTAGCGTGCGGAAAACAATATGTAACTTTTATAATTATAGTTATCATCATCGTTATTGGTGATATGGGATTTCGTCCTTACCCTACATTATTGTATCGATATTTGAATGGCAGCCTGTCCTCGATTCTTAGAATTAGCTTCCACATCACTATTTTTCATTCTACAAAGTATATAGGTTAACAGGTTTCAATCTTCAACAGCTGTTCATTAGACTTTGATGTGTTATCATGGAGGCCTTGCATGGAGCTTAAGTACGTCATAATCATTAGTGATGCCGTGATTCGGTGGTTGGTGTAGGGTTTTTACCATTTCAGTGGGTATTGGCATCAAAAAGGCGGGGGAGGAGAGGGAAATGGGGGCACCGCTCTTACTCCATAAATGAATTGCGAATTAACCTATTATAAGGTGTTTTTTTTAAGGAGGGTTCCTATTTTTTTCTCGTCCTTAGACACCTCTCCCTTTTTTCCCCTCACCTTTTTCCATTTGCCCCCCCCCCCCGGCCCCCTCACCAGTTGACTGGGGCACGCCCCATGCATTTACTGCATCCCCCCCCCCCCCTCCTATCAATCTTTACAGCAACTTAACCGAGTAGAAGCTAAGAAAATTGGTTAAACTAGCAATTGGAAGTACTGTATGAGGAAAATGAGACATAAAATAAGAATGACAATTTCCGGTTCGGAATTATTGACGTCACTATAAACGGGAATCAATTGTCAATTCGGTCATTATACCTGTGCAATATCATATTTTACACACTCAGTGAGAAATTAAAATCATACATTAAACGCAACAACCAGCATTTTCTAATCCAAATGCATTGTGAAATCCATGATAAAGTCACGATTAATAATAGGTTTGTATGCTTTCAGCAATGGGTGGAATCATGATTAGACGCAACGGAATATTCAAAACATTTGTAATTCTCAAAATTGTATACAGTTCGTATAATGAACAAACACTCCGATACTGAACTAGCAGTTATGGAATTTAAACACAAGGTGATACCACGGATACCATTATACATAATGCAGTCAAACCTGCTCTAGTGACCACCTGTATACAAAAAAAATGTTTTGTTTCCCTTTAAAAAGGTTTCTAATTTAAACATGCCCTATATAAAAAATATAAAAAAACCTGTATATAGAGACCGCCCGCCTCTAAAGACCACTTTTCTTGTCTCCATTGGGTGGTCTTTATAGATCTCTGTACACATGAATAATACCTTCTCATTTTAGGCAGTGTGTTCTTTATGAATTATAATCATGATAGTCATGTTGCTCTTTATAATTATCATAATTAAATGTTTGTTTGTTTTTAAATGGGGGAAATTATTAATTTTTTTTTTTAAAGAAAAGAAGATAAACAAAACAAAACAAAATGAAATAAAAAAAAAAAATTATTTTACGATAGTATCCGACACTAGATCTTAACTGCCAGTCAAACTAACTAAAACAAGAGTGCATCAACCTTGGTAACATAATCTGCTTTGAATGATCGAGGGAAGCATCCTAGATTTACAAAATTGGTTTCCATTTTGCATAAATTGCTGGTACATTGTTGTTATAATTATGAAATATTGTAATATAAGATAGGCATCTAAGTATAGACATTGGGAGACGTGCGGATGGGTCTTGCCCGTAGACCTATCATAAAATCGTCTATATCATATATTTTTTTTGTCATAAATGTGTTTCTTTTCCGGTTTAAATATACCACCCAAATTTACTGTACCCATTTTAACTATCAAAGGGGAAGAGCTGATAACTATTTCAGCACGCACATGCACACAGCGCCCCCTCGTGTCTCTTCAAAAATGAAAACATAATGAAGGGTATTTTCACTGTGAACCTGTCAAAGTTTGTGAAAGGATTTCCTTAAAAACAAAGCATACTATCAAATTAAAGAGTGGACTAATCCCTGTGTTGTTTCAAATGTTCACCTATTATTAACCAAAATATATTTCGGGTTCAAGTCCTATGTCCCAGACTGAAAGGCAATGTTGAGATAATCTTGAAACGACCCTACCTCAAAAGGCGCCTAAAATGACTGTACCCCCCCCCCCCTTTCCCAATTTTCTATTGCTTCAATGTTTTGCTTGTTAGAATCTTGTAAGAACATTGAAATAACCCCTTTATGATATAACATTTCCTTTTATTCTCATAGTTTTTCATTACATTTTCACTAATTTCATCTATCTATATCTATCCATCTATTAATTTACTCATTCATTTATTTATTTACTCATTTATTTATTTATCAACCTTTTTATTAATCAATTAATTGATTAATTATTATGTGTTGCCTGTCAAAGACTTTATTCGAAATTTGAAATTCGGACATTGAAATAACCCCTTTGTGATATAACATTTCCGTTATTCATTTCACTTATTTATCTATCTATATCTATCTATCTTTCACTCATTTATTTATTTATTAACCTTTTCATTTAATTATTACTTCATTTATTATTTATTATTTTGTGCCTGTCAAAGACTTTATTCGGACTTTACCCCCCCCCCCCCCCCCTCCCTCCCTCTATCTTTCCGCTGACAAGAGAGTCATGAATCCGCCACTCTTAGAGGGGAAAACACTTCTAAATAATTCCCGGTTGTATATGCCGTCTTCTTTGTATTACTTTTGTAGCTCAAATAATTCATACATGTCAAAGGGCGATGACCCAAATCAGGTATCTTGTGGATCATGTATAGAGCGTATAATCAACAGAAACCACTCAAAAGAATACCTACATTTTTAACAATCAGCAATCCAAACGTCGTACAAAATGTCTAACAATACAAAATCATAATACTTTGATTGAAAGCAATGAGCGTGTCTGGTATGCCACTATTATGCGAGAAACCCATGCACTCCGGCGTTATCACGTTTAGAGTATTTTCGTAGATACACAAGCTATCTAATTAAATGTACAAAAAGTGGGGTTGAAACTGACACTTCGAGGGTTTTCAGGCCACGGTAAATCACGAATGCTCCTGCTTTTGCGAGTATACTCAACGTGACTCTTCTTGTACCACTTGAAGGAAAACAAATTACAAGTGCTAGTTATTGAGACAAGTCATCACGTGCATTTCATATACATGTATTTACTCTTTCATAATTTGTTTTATTATACGTTTGGTTATCCCCAGTTCCTTTGGTGGGTTGGTGGAGGGTGGGTGGGTGGGTGGAGGGAAGGCCATGGGAGGGGGGTCCGTCCGGTCACTGGCTGGAGAACCACTTGCATGCTCCTTTTGTGTTCGTCTCTATTAAGTGACCATTTACATTAATGTTGTTAACATCTGCGTCAAGTACCCTCACCTGTCCGTGCTTGGTACTTCTACGAAATGTTAGGTCACATGTTCTTCGTAACTTACTCAAAACGTGATACATGATGCCGAGGAACCCTCTAGTAGCTCACATCTATACAATTATGTATGTAGGTTGCCAAACGTTTGGTTTAGACGTTTATAATGTCATCTTTCTCGTAAAATGATGGGGGAGGGGGAGAATTCCCCCTTTCCAATACAACCCTTGCCCTCCCCCTCCCCCCACCCCTCCCTCCTCCACCCCTTATAACTTCCTCTTTTTTTTAAATTCTTGCATAAAGCCCATTTGAACCTATACACATCCTATGCTCTCCACCCTCCCTTTCCTGTTTATAGCCGTATTATCGTACATGCATATGATACCACATGTCGTGTCAGTATAAACTCCTATTTCACGAGTGAAACAGCAATTTGTATACACTATTAATAGCAATGGCCTATTCATCACATTTTCCCCTTCTGATCCTTTTATTATGAAATGAATTGAAAAATCAGACCAAATAACAACGTAATCAAAACGTGTTTTCGTCTCTATTATTCTCCAAATGCGAAACGCCCAAATCATATCCCCAATTCTATGTACGCATGCACCACGGCGAATGATTTTCGACAAAAGCCCAGAAATGTGGAAATTTTTCCGGATTTCAAAAGATGCGCTCTGATGTGTTTCTTCCATTGAGTATTATTGCACCACAGTTCTCTGAATGAACCCGATTTCGTGGGCGAGGCAATCTGCCTTCATATTGCTATGGGTTACGCACAGTTGACCAATCAGCGTAAAGTCTATCGGAGGGGGTGGGGTGCAATGCCCAGAGTGCCGATGCACTACTCAAACACTAATTGGATTGAGTGGAAATCCATGCGCGTTATCTAAACATAGAGCGAACAGATTTCTAAATAATCCTCTCAAAAACTTAAAATTTATAGCATTTGGAGTTTTATTAGGTATTTCTCATACAGTAGAGCAACTCATGTAGAATAAATGTGTTACAATTATCTGTCATAGTATTTATGCGGAAGGATATTATTTTATTAAAGAGCCGCCGTCGACATGTCCCAGCTGGAGAATTACGTATGTCGCAACATCGCACCAAATACGTATGTAGAGAGATGCCCGATACGTTTTCTTACCAGCTGTTTTTAGAAGCGAACTGACGGCAATTGAAGATACACGAACATTGGCAGCTGTGAACAAGTTCAAAACGTGAACATAGTTTAGCATATGGATATTTCTATTTGAAGCATATTTTCTTCAGTGAACTTGTAATTCTTGTCCTCGCAGAACATTTCCGATTAACACAATTATCTTTAGGAAATAGTTTTGTTTTCCTCAAGTTCATCATCATGGCATCCACGGAGTCTGGCGCACGATTTCAGGTGCTTAGCTACCCGCAGGTTGTGCGGTTAGACGAGGTGCTGACTACCCCTGTTGCCGTGCATGGAAGGGGCAACTTTCCCACCTTGGATGTGACTCTCTTGGATTTAGTGGAAAATGTTCGTGAAAAACTGGTTGGCAGCAATATTGATGTCCGGTGCATTCGAATGAATGGCGGTGCGGCTAGTTACATCTTGAGCACGGAAACGAATCAATCGTACAACGACTTGGATTTGATTTTTGGGGTTGACCTCTCGAAGACGGAGAACTTGGATATCATCCGTGATGCTGTCTTCGAATGCCTGCTCAACTTTCTACCCGAGGATGTTAATAAGGAACGTATGACATCATGTACCATGCAGGAGGCTTACACGGAGAAGATGGTGAAGATCTACAATGATAATGACCGGTGGAGCTTAATCAGTCTCTTGAACTTGGCTGGTAAGAATATTGAGTTGAAGTTTGTGGATCTGATGAGAAGACAGTTTGAGTTCAGCGTGGATTCCTTCCAGATTGTTCTTGATTCTCTCCTGTTCTTCAGGAAGATATCCGAAGTGCCCATGACCAGGCATTTCTATCCCTCAGTCGTGGGAGAGAGTGTCTTCGGAAACTTTGAGGAAGCCCTTTACCACCTGCACAATAAGCTGATCGCCACAAGAAACCCGGAGGAGATCCGGGGTGGTGGCCTGCTCAAGTACTGTAATCTCTTGTCACGGGACTACAGCCCTGCTTGTGAGGAGGAGATCAAGAAAATGGAGAGGTACATGTGCTCGCGATTCTTCATCGATTTCTCAGACCTTCTCCAGCAGCACCAGAAGCTGGAGAGCTACCTTAACACGCACTTTGCAGAAGACGTGGACAAGTACGAGTACCTGATCATCCTCCGCAGAGTCATAGACTCAAGCACGGTGTGTCTGATGAGCCATGAGCGCCGTCAGACGCTAAAGCTGATCACAGACTTGGCCCAGAGTGTTCAGTGGTCTCTTGCCTTCCAGTCGCAGTCGATGCAACCCGTCAACCTCTACTCCCAGCTTCCGATCGCCTTCGCGGTGCCACCACCACCTCTCCACACCTCCTCCACCACCAAACACAACAGCTGGCATTCCGGAGTTGCCACTTCCCGTCACCACCAACAGTACCACCCACCACACCATCAGCAGCAACACCACCACAACAAAAACAGCAGTCAAGGAAGACATCACAACAACATTCCCTTCAGGTCACATCAGGGCAGGAACACATCCTACAACTCCAGCAATTACGGGAAGCCACGATTCATTCCGCACATGAACAGCTACAGGCATGATGCCAACAATAATCATAGCAATGTGTTCAGAAGTAATAATGTTGATCCAAGGTGGACAAGTTGCTACTAATGCTCACATTAAGTCATTCAAGACTGACTTTAAACCTATTCTCATAATTCTAATAATTCTACAAGTGTGCGCTTCCTGCTATTTAAGTGTACATGATGTAGATATTGTTTCAAATTATCAAAAAGAAAAAGCTTTAAAAAGTACTATGGAAATGTTTTATGTTATGTCATATTTGTGGTGTATTGAAATGTTCAATACTGTTTATTTTTGGTTTATGACTCAAACTTGCCAATTTATGTTCAGACAATCTGAGACAGGTAGATTTTATTCAGGAAAGATGAACTAATATGATGTACTCTTTCGCACTTACAACAATGTCCACTGATTCCATTAGAATGTTCAGATATTCCTGTCTCCTTTTCCACTAGTATGTTTGTGGCTCTAGTTTGGAATGGAGAGGGGTAGCATTCAGATGGGACAGTGCTTTTTTTTTGTCTCAGGAACACACATGATTTAATAAGATTTTATGATTCCTCTATATTACAGTTCAGTTGACAGTTGCCCCACCCAATCCCCTTTTGAAAGTGTGAAGTATCGTTGCCTTGGAATCCTGTTCATAAATATTGTGGGCCAATTTAAAGTGATATTGACTCATCAATGCTTTACCGGTGAATTGATTTTGATTTAATGGGCAGTAGAGCTTGAAATAAGCCTTTTCTGCAGAGCAAATATGGTGCTATGATCCATGTGCAAAATTGTGCATTCAACAGATAAAATTATCTTGAAATATGATATGCTTGAAGTTTGAATTAAAAAGAAACTTCTCTTCCTTTCGATCTGAAAGTATGTTGAAATATTTAAGACCATTACTGTATATTATTTCCAAATTCCCATTGGGTACAAATTTATCCTTTGCATAAAACTGTGAAGCATTGTAATTTATGTTAATTATTAATTATTATCCTGTGAAAACCAGGGACAAAAAAACTTGAAAAAATGAAATCAGCATTGTCACAACCTAAAAATCAGTATTGTAAAACATTTGAGCTGACATTTATTGGACAAACATGTTCAGTGACAATGCATTTAGTTATTTATTCAAACTGGTAGTAAACTTTGCACTTACAGTGTCGATGCATCAACAGAACTGAAGGTCTAGGAAAAGTAGGAACGGGGAATTCTGAAATGGTTCTACATTGTACCCGTCTTTACAATCTTGTTTCAACCTGTTTACATGTGTCAATATCAGGATGATTGCGCCACAAGCCATATTGACTGTTTAAAAAGCCAGAAGGGCTTTGAATCAGTGTCAAACAATGAGCTAATGCTCTTCTTTTTCCGAGCAAATGATATGTACCTGTAAGCCCCCCTTATGCAAAAGATCCAGGAAGCTTATGTACACAATGGATGGTTAAAGGTCTGAATTGTGCAATTTTTTTTCCTCTCGTGTATTGTATCACTTCGATGGACCTTGGCACATGTATGGCTCCAGCCAGCCACAAATAGATCAGGCAAAAAGCTCCTCCCAAGAGTCGTTCTCAAGCAAACAATTTTGTTTTTTTAGTGGTGCTCAATGTAGTGCGTGGGTGGACAGTGGGTGAACCAGTACTGCGGTAAAGTGCCTTGGACTGTTTCCTTGAATTTGGCAAGGCTTCTTGTTAAAAACGCGTTAAAAGGATTTTTTGAATGACTTCTCTCTAACTTGGGATAAGGGGTTACTATAAGGCCTATATATAGTATACCCATATTTACATGTACATGTAAGATGGGTTTATTAACCATTTATTTTAACCCACAAGGACCTGTTGCAAACTCTCTATTTCTTCAAGAATAAGAAATTCCACTTTTTTTGCATTGATGTTCAACTAATGTACATTTCAGTATACTAATTTGAAATCTATTGGTATTAAATTCATCATGTACAGTCAGTGCATGGTGTACATGTACATGGAAGCATATTTTTGGGGCCCACCTTTCACTGACTATGAAAATAAGGCTTGGTCAAAATTTTCTTCAGGAACTGAAAGTAACTAAGGACATATTGACACCGTAGATTCAATGAGGCCAACATGTACAGTACAGTAGGCCCTACACATTTTTTCATCCAACCTTTAACATTTTATTCTGTGCTGGATATAAGCGGCTCTGTTTAAAGCGATTTATTTTGGCTTGATCAGTGTAACATGACAGAGATGTAAAAGGATAATGAGATTTTTATAGAAAGGGTTTACTTAAAATTAGGAGAAAAAGAATGACAGCCTAGAAAAGCGGTTTAGATGGCATTTGCTCTTTGAAGCATGTCTCCTACCAGATCATGTACATGTACACAAGAAAGAGACAAGAAAATTAGGGTATCAGGAGCTCAGACCATTTTGTTATCTTCCTAAGTTCCTAATCCTCTTTTAATTTTGTGTTTAACTTCACTCAAGTAGAAAACACTCTAGTCAGCTTTTTCCTCACCAAAAATGACAGGTATGTGTATTTGACAAGTCTGTGTGACCAATCCAAGTTGTAAAACATATTTTTTCTGGAAGTATTGTGCAGGAATTGCGCATTTTACTTGGAGAAGCATGATGTCTCTGGCAGACAAGAAGTTGACAGTTGAACTTCAAGCCTTGAAGATGTGTCACAGTGTGACAGTTTGAAACAGGTGGCTGGCTTGTGGGTTAGTAGTAAACAGGGCTTGGGGGCATTATAGTATTGAACCTTATGAGTTGCTAAGGGATGGGAGGGCACGAGAGGGGGGGGGGGGTATTGAGACCCTCCAAAGAGTCCCTCTAAAGCGTCATAATCGGAAGCAAAGCACTAGTGTACAGTTACAAATCTGTCGACTATCTGTACTACATGTAGTCTGTACATCGGTGCACTGTACATACCGGTACATATATGTATATGCACACTCCTTGCAGTTGTGCAGAGTTGAATGATTTTTGATGCATTTTAAAAGTGATAACTTGCAATGTGAATCGGATTACCGTATGGTGAAACATGTTTTGAAGGACAGTTTAGCAATACCAAAACAGAGACCAATTTTGTGTGTTACTGTAGAAGTAATGTAATCAGTGATTTAATTTGAATTGAATTGCTGGATGTTCAAAATACGTAGTCTGTTCTGTTGTACATGTACTCCTGTAAAAAGGAATCAAAGCATTGGTGTCTAGACACAATTAAATGACCATAGCAGCTGTATATGTAAATGATAACTTTACAAGGAAAACAAAAGAATTCATTAATGATTATTCACCTTTTACATTTGTAATGCTAATGTACATGTACATGTAGGCTCCTCTTTGTTCATACATTATTAGGTGTGACATGAACACATCTTGATGATCATGCAAAGTGCCCAAATATGGACATTATTCCCCTCTTTTTCCTTTCGCTTTAATCAAAGCAGAGCCAACTAAGATGTAAATATCTAGAAAGTGAAACTTCATTATTCTTTTATTATTGTCACATTGACTAAGGTCCATATGTAAAGCTTTTGTATCAGCTTTCTCCTCGGCTTATTTGCATTGGGAAATTGGATCCATGTACACCAAAAAAAATCAATATTGAAAACATTGTGGGGAAAACCCTGCCATCAAATCAGACCCAGTTCTTTGCATCCAGTGTTTTGGATGTTGTGCAACAATGTTGTAACAGGTGTAATTATTTATATCCAGTAATGACGTTCCCAGCGAGTTATTATCATACTGAAAGTCTCTGTGGCTTGTCTGTTTAAATTTTAAAATGAGAATGTTGGGGTAGTCAGTCCAGCTATTTTTTTTCTTCATTCATGTGTATTTGTAATTTATCTTCTTGCAATTAGTGTGTGATGGACATATCAAAATATTTCAAAATTTGAAAGAAGCAATTTATATTGAAAAAAAGAGGAAATATTCTGTAATTTAGTAGACCGCTTTTCTATCACATTATGCTTCACTGTATTTCTCCTACCCATTGCCCATATACCTGTATGTATAAACGATAGTCAATACAAGTACTTTACACATGTACATGTATGTCTAATTATTCAGAATTACAAGTTTTTACTGTATTGCTGTAGTCAGGATGCATGTTGTACATGTTGTTGCTATGTCAGGCTAATTGCTCATGGGAAATATACATACATTTTGATGCGAATGTGATAGAAAAGGAGTCTACATGTATATGTATTGAGTAAGTAATTGTACAGTGATGAACGTAGTTATGCAAAGAGAATATTGAACCGTTCTGTTTTTGATTGCTTTGACATGATTTGATTCATGTAGCTTTGTGCACATACGATGAAAACCTGTATTTGTCACTATAATTTGACTATAAAGAAAACTTGTAGCAAAGTAATGTTGCCAAAATGCATGTTTGTGCAAGCAGCATCTAATCCTTCAAGTTTGTGAGAGGATAGATTATCCTGTCTACGATTTAATTTAGACATAATACATGTATGAGCTTCCAAAACTTGTTCATATAAGGATCATGTACAAGTTACAACATTTATTACAGATAGAAGTGTCATTCACATGTAGCATCTTAAAATTGTTTTGTTAAGAGTTTATTGCATGGAGGAGGGTTTGAGCCCCCTCTTTTAAAACAGGTCATCTGTTTGAAGTGTGAAAGTGGCCCTGTTGGCTCCAAACAGACAATGTCATCTGTTACGACTTGAGAGGCAGATGGACGTTTTTAACGTTGTACTTACATGTACATGTATATCTGATATATGAATGCTCTTATTCAACAGACAGAACGTTGTACATGGGTATTTTCGTTCTGTTGCTATGTCAGATTCATATACTACCTCAATTGGCCTGTCCTCCTCTGCAAAACTGAATAATTGCTCATCCGATCGTCCTCTAAACTTTTATCTACATCAATAAACAAACAAAAACATGTTGTCTGTTTGGAGCCAGAAGGGCAAACTCTACTCTCTGTTAATTTTTTTTCTCTCTCTTTTAGCCCCAACGGACAATCTAATCGATGCATTTGAACAAAGTGTGTACCTACTGTTGTAGATGAATGATGCCATGAAATATTACTTTGTTAATTTTTTTCATTTTATTTTTTAGAAAGATGTACAAAAAAGTGTACGTGTTCTACTATCAGGCACATTGCTCATTTGTAAACAAAAATGGGGAGTTGATTGACAATCTTGTACATTTGTACATGTGAAAAGAAAAATGTATAAAGTCTATATAAGTTGACATGTAAACAATTGTAATGTACATAATACATAAACACTGTACAATTGTACATTATACATTGTAGTTTTTACTCTGCAGATAGCGAGAAGGACGCTAAAGTCATACACGGAGTTAACACCCTTCTGGCTCTCTGCTGATGAGTCCTGTTGGTTATCATGCTATTGAATACGCATTCCTCATTCAGTACTATATTTTGTGTTATACATTTATCTGTTTCATTCTGAAAAATGTTGCAATGTCAACTTTTGCTTGGTTTTATGCTCGGTTTTATGCTCAGACACACAGCTTGAGGTTTTCAGTATTTAGTTCTGCTTGTTTTCTTAAGTTGCAAAAATACTGATAAAATGATAAAAATTAAAGCTGTATTTTGTCTAAAGAAACAATAACAACAGTGATACATTTTGTGCACAATTTAGAATGATAACGTTTTTCATTTTAAAACTAAGCCAGACTAAGAAATTATTTAAGTGGACTTCAAAGAGATGAATCTGTAGACAAAACAAAGTTATCTGATCTATGATGGTGCTCAAGTTACAGGATAAAGACGAGGGTGATCAAATTGAAATGAGTGATTCTTACATAATGTCTAGACTAACATTATGTGAATGTGGAAAAGACATATCAGAAACAGATGCTGGCATGACTGCAAAACAGATGACTGAGAAACAGGTACAAAAATGAGTATCAGAAAACAAGTTTATGTTGATTACTGTGTACAACTGTAAATGTAACTTCTTTTTTTCTTGCGCATTTTGTTTCATTTGCTTTGTCATATTGCAAGTATCTACACTTTTTGTCTTTTTCCCATATTGTAACGTAAGTGTGTTCATCTTATGTTTGAATAATGAGTCACATGATCTTGCAACATTATTTTACGCTTTATCAACCTACATGTATATACGGAATGTTCTCCATTGTTCAATAATTAATGATCATTCGTTTGAATTTCCAATTGATTGAGCGATGATTGTGGTACAGAATGTATACTATCTATGGTGCCTTGTAATTGTGCAGAGAGGTAATAGGCGTTAATATAAAGTGTGTTGAACTGTCATTTTAATAATAAGATATACCCTAATATTTTGGCAAGCATTGTTAAAACGCATACCAAATGCCTATTAAAAGTCAAGTGTGATGATACATGTAAA